GGTTAATACCTTCGTTTGTCAGCCCAAAGTCGGCATTTGGCGCAGGAATGCTCACTTCCCAAGTGTGTGGTTTGGGGTGCCTCTTGCCATGAGGCCCTAAGGAAAATGAGATTGTGTCAACATCAGTCGACCCATTCTTGTTGATTTCCCTTTAAGCCAAACCGAAGATGATGGCATGGGTACCCTCAAATACACACACACTCAAACCGTCCAATCCTTGGCAGGTGAGCACAAAGCATTGCTTTTCGCAGCCACCAATAAAAATGAACAAAACCAAAGAACTAAAAACAAAAACTAACCCCCGTGCCAAGCATGGAAAAAGCGGTCGCTCGCTCCTGGGCCATCGCTTCCCTCACCGCCGCCGCGGTCGCCGCCTCGGCGTCCTTCGGATCTCGGCGCCGGGGCGTAGGCTGCGGCTTCCGGGGCGTGGTGACGGACTTGGGCCGGCGCTTCTCGGCGCGCCTCAGAGGGACCCCAACACAACGATTGTGGTCGAATGTTGACCCATTGATCAACCCCTGGTGATGAATATGGGGGTGGGGGGCCCCTCCAAAACAGCGGCATAGGTGTCCTTTTGGAAAAATAGATGGCCCTGGTAACCATCTAAACCAGTGCCTTCTGTTCTTAACCAAACTGACTGAAAAAAAGGACACCCATGCTCAGAGGAAGCTTCCAACACACCGATCGTGGTATTGTTGACCAAGTAATCGAGTTTGTTCATAAATTTGAGGGCGGGGGCCCCTCCAAAAGGGCGGATTCCCCACTGCAGGGACACCCGCCTATTAATAAACTGGGGGTTGGTTCATATGGGGGGTCACAGTCGTCGGGTGTCTCTTTTTCCGCTCCCCCCCAACCAAAAAATGGTAGGTGGTGTCCTCTTCCTTTAAAGCCACTAAGAAAGTGGACATACCAATTCGGGCCCTCAACAAGGCGTGTTCGGCTCAGCATCCCAGCAACTCTGACCCAAGGAACCTACGGCCATGAGTTCTCTCTGGAACCGTGGGTCAAATAACAACAGCATAACCCACATGGAAGACTTTAGGGTATTTGCTATCGAATAAACAAACAATAACAATATTCTTAAGGCAAATGGAAGACTTTCACGGGAACCCTTCTTTAAACAAACATGTTCACCGGTCTGGCACTTTGAAAGGCACGTGAAAATGGGGGGGAGGGGTTCACGTGCCACTTCGTTGCCTGGGTGACAAGCACCTCATTTGCGCACCTCGAGAGCGGGTTCTGCAGCCCAAGACATGGCCATGTTGCTCGTGTTGGGAATTTGACATGGGTTAGGTGAACAAGGCTATTTGGGTTGGCCCGATGCGAACACAAACTGTTGCACTGACGCAACATTTGGAAGGCTTCTGGTCAACCTCAATTTGCGGGTGTCGAAATGGAGGCACCCGACAGGTTGGGTATGCCCGCAACAAACAGATAAACATAACAAACAAACACCATAAGCAAACAAACGGAAAACCACACAAACAACCAAACAACCAACCAACCAACCAACCAACCAACCAACCAACCAACCAACCAACCAACCAACCAACCAACCAACCAACCAACCAAACAAACAAACAAACAAACAAACAAACAAACAAACAAACAAACAAACACACAAACAATCAAACACGTCAAACAAACAGACAAACAAGCAAGCCACAAACAATCAAACAAACAAACAACCAACCAACCAACCAACCAACCAACCAAACAACCAAACAAACAAGCAAACAAGCAACAACCCACACGCACACACACACACACAACCCGTCTATAAGGGTATAAGAACAAATATGGTGGCTCTGGGTCGAACCAGCGACACAAACTTGGAAAAGCTGTGTTCTGTCGGGGCTTGTTGTTTCCATATAAAACCAAGAGATAAAGGGCTAATAGGCACGGTGTCGTTCAACATCCCTCTGTTGGTGTACCTTCCAATAGCGCCCTTCGTGATTTCCCAAACAACTCCTCCATGGCGAGAAACATCATCGCGCACCACTTCTGGACAAAACAAAATAATCACGATATCTGCTAATCGCCATATCTGAACAAAATAAAGTCTTCACGGATGGAAACAACACACACAAAAACACGCCGTGAGCATTCATCACACACTTCACCGTCTTCTGATATTTCTGATGGAACATCTACACAATTGGCATAGTGGACAATATCTTCAGATAATGGGGCTCCATTAGCTGGTGCCGAACAATAACATGCTTTTGTTTTTTTACGCCAAGCATGGGGCCATGACTGTTAAGACCGGTTCCTTGTCTCCTTTGGGCGGCTTAGGCTGGATGGGAGCCCTAGATAAACAAAGCCCCTTCAAGTCCGCCCACCTAATGTGTGCTTGCAATAAGAAGACCCCTCCAGGGAACTCCAGGCCCAAAGGATCTGGAAGCTAAAGGCGTTTGGGACCTTGACTAGACGTGGAAAAATGGAAACCCGGACTAAACCAGGTCGACTCAACATGGTTTGTGGAAAACAAACATGTTGACGCACAATGGGTTGTCGGAAAAATGAAAGGCGGTTGACTAAAAACGGAAAACCTTGGAAACTATTCAGCAAAGCTAGCCGAACCCGCCGAGGCGCTCGAGGTCCTCCCAGGCACTCCGCACTTGGCCACAGAAGTCATTCAGCGACTCCAGCAGCGAAGATCCCCCCGGCCTCGATGAAATGCACAGCACAATTCGGAGACCCATGGAGGCTCTAGATTGACATGGGACCTAAACAACGCAATGTTGTAGGAATCTCTTTGGGGGATTACGCTCAAGAAAATAAATAAAACGGAAGGGATCCTTTCCACAAGGGACCGCTTCCTGTGCAGTTCTATGTTTGTTTTCCTGAGTGAATATGCCCTGTGTTCAACAAATTCCTCTTGAGGTCCCCCGAATTATGCGTTCCAACTTCGAGTGTCCAGTTGGAATACTCACCTTTTGGCCTCCTGGATTGAGAAAAAGAAGTGCCGGCAACACCACCAAGGGCTGCCACAGAAACCATGCAGCTTCATATTGGGCGCTTGGTGGTGTGTTTGGTGGATCTAAGAGACAAGCAGGCACGGTCTCCATGGTTGTGTGGCCAGCCCGATTTGCCATGTGCTGGAGCAACCGTGTGACCTTGTGTTGATTGAATCATGAGGCAATTGATAACAGAAGTCCTTCCGCATGAATTTGTTGCCAGGAGGTGTTTTTAGTGGCAACCACTCATTTTTGGTGGCAACCACTCATTTCCGCATCCCTTTGATTCGTGGCCATCCTGATTTAGAGGGGAACCCACAAAAGCAAAGCGGGAGGGTTCACTTTGGGAGGTCCACCACGTTGAGAAACTCAAAAGCCTCTGATTCAGCACGCCTGGAGTTCTCTTGGCCGAAGAACTTCAGAAGTTCCTGGCGAATCAACTCCTTCGCCATCCATAAGCTTGACACGTACCCACATGGGTAGGAAGCTACAATGGTTCAAGTCCCCAATGTACAGACATGGGAAGGTTATAGTTGTGGCCCTTGGCCCTTAATTTGCCCGTAAACATCATGAAACATCACTCATGGTCACTATTCAGTCCTCCCATTGCAAGTGGGCTCGGCATACTGCATATGGCATTGCCTCGCCTCTTGCGGATCGGCCCACAGAAAGTGAATACGTATTATATATATATATATATATAAGGTCACATATAGCCGCCACCCTCCCCATCCAAGCTCAATTGCGGTTAAACACGAGAACCTGTATATATTGTATGTATGTATATGTATGTATAGAATATGTGAATTAATGCATCGCAACCAAAAAGCAGTTGCTTTTCTGACAATAACGAGAGGGTCCCTGCAACCCCTTCTTGTGGCACCATGAACAGTAATTTTAGTAATGCCTGCGAGCAAATTGTTTTTTGCTGGCCGTACCGCAAGCAACCTAGTTTCTTGGCAACAAAGAAAGAGACACCTGCACATTAGTTTGTCTTAAAATAGGGGGGCCCTGCAAACAGCTGCATTTCCCTTTATTGCCCCTTTAAAACCAACCAAAAGGGGCTTCCCGAAACAAGACGTACCCACATGAACGTTGAGCAACCCACGCATCTTGCCTCAGCCCTCCCCGCTCCTTGTAGTCGCTATCGGCGGCGCGCACCGCCTGTACAAGCAGCAAGCTCAAAGCTTCAAGGATTCCACAACATTCGATGGTTCCTTGATCCTAGTCAAATATGTCAAAAACTCTTTCAACTCTAAACGTCTACAAAGACTCGGGGGTATGGCTGCGAGCAGGCAAGAAAGCTCCCTGCCTCCAACAATCATGGAAGCTGACAGGACGGTGTTGGAAGACTAGGTTCCTCTCGGGGAACCCCCCTGTCCACTTTCATGATTGTTGGAGGAAAGGCAGCTTCCAAACCAAATCATCTCAACCTTGGTTTGCAAACACATTGTTCTACCAAGCCTACATGCAACATGTGTCTGCAACAAAAACCGTGCTCTGGACAAAGTTCGGGCAGGAACACACAGTATCATCATGAATCGATAAAGGATAAGTATATGTTCACAACGACATGGCCCCTGCAAATAGAGTGTGTGGTGATCACCTTGAGAAACCTTGGCACACAGAAGTAGCCGAAAACAAACATGTCCGGGTGCAAGCGGTCCCGATGCGCGCAACCATCATGACTTAGCTCGTTTAGCCTCCCGGGAAGCTTGTTAATTGCTGGCCCACACCTGATACTTTCGGTATGGGCCATGGTCTTAAGTAATGCCCATCCACCACTCTCGCATTCTGCTGAGATATGATGATGGACACGGTGATAAACGAGATGCACAGTTGTTGATGTAGATGTTGATAAACATGGTAAGTTGGCCCGCTGTCAACCTGCAACCTGGGATTTGACTCTTTTTACAATCGGACATAAAGTGAAGATGGTACCACACATCGACCAAGGTACATTAGCCTGCCTCGCCTGTGCCCTCAGTCAAGGTGAACATGGCATACTCGGTTCAACTTAACAACCGTCAGCCATGGGGGCTGGGGGACATATCAGCCAAGGACAAGCCCCAAAGAAGAGCTCATTGAAGGCTTGATAGGTGATAGCCATGTTCTTTTGCTTTGGTTTGGTACGTGAGCCCTCTGTAGGGGGAATTCAACCCTGACTAGAAATCAAATTAGGGAACATGATCGTTATCCTATCCCCTGCCCATTTCCCCCGTCGAATTTCATGAGGCAGCCCTCGGAATTCGAATTTTCCGACTTCGCCTCTTCAAAGCGACTCACCTGCCGCGCCAGTGTCAGCTCCATCTGAGACAGCGTCTCAATGCCTGGGCATAGCCCTGGGATCCCAACTCGGGCTATCCAGAGCATAGGAGTCCTTTTTGGGGAAAAAATGGCCCTGGTAGTTGATTGAACCACCAGGCAAACCAGGAATCGCCCTCTATTTTTCAACCACATCAACCAAAAAGGACACCTATGATCCCGAGTCTACCCCCTAACTCCAATGAACTGACCAACCCTCAACAAACCCTTAACCAAGCTGAATCACCCCCCACCCCACAACCAACCACCCTGCGGGTGGCGGGGTACCATGGTCCTTTTACATTTTGGCAACGCTACTGGATTACTCTCAGTGCGACACCTTGACAGGCTGCTGTTAAACCAGTAGCTACCATAAACAAAACAAGCCAAAACTGTTACATCACTTGTGGTTCCAAACGCTGTGATAAGCTGCTCCCTCTTTGCTTCGAAGCAAGGCTTCCGAAGTGCAGGCAGGAGTTTTGGGGCGATTCGTTCACACCCTTGGGATCATGACTACACCCAGATCCCCCAAGTGGCCACGGGAAAAAACGGCTTAAACTTCAAAGGAAACCCCTGCAACAAACAAGCAGAAACTATTTAAAGGGAACCCCCGAGACCCCTCCAAAAGGATATGAAAAAAAACAAGAAGCAACCTGCAGGTCTGGGCATCGGAGGGAAATCCCAGTCTTTCGTGCCCTTGAGGCGAGCTTCGGCTGTCTCTGGGGCTGGAGGTGGCAGTGGTCTCCTCGTCCGAGCTGGGCCTCGCAAGCGACTCGCGAGCCACCAGCCACCCGGGAGCAAACAAAACACATGCGTGGATGGAGCAAAACATGGAAGTGTACATGCACGTATTGGTTTGTTTGTGCATGCAGCAGTTTCTTAGTTGCTTGCTGCTGTGTTTTGGTGCGTTGTATTCGTTGTTTATGTGTATAAGACTTTGGGTGCTTGTGCGACAACAAAGGGAATTCAAAGCAATTGAGGAACACACGCATGCATTCCTTACATGAATGTGAAAACCAGGGAACGCAATTTGTTGGACACCCTGACGTGAGTCACGAGCAGCATGTGAGCTTTCTGCAGAGGGCATGCCCAAATGGACAATAGACTGATAGAATACTGGATATTTCAAAGGAACCTCTGATCCAAGACCTCTAGTGGAATACCACGGAGACAAGGGCATCTTTGTGTTGGCACTTCATGTTGACTGGAACCCCCCAAAAGAAAGGGAACTTGAGCTAAAAAAAGGCAACTCAAAAGAACTAGGAACAATTGGCGCCTTGTTCAAAGGGAAACCCCCTTGAGCGAAACCACGGAACAATCAAGGGCATGTTCAGGTATGGGTTTTGGATGTCTGATGCCTACAAACCGCCACTACACGCTTGTACAGCAGTATATGCCCCTCACAGAGGTGGTATACTTCCATGCCTCCAAAATCCATACCTGCAAAACCCAGAGTCTCAGTGGACTGCCATGGGAAACATCGGCGCACTTTTTCGGTCGTTCATTTTAATGGGGCTTGCCAGGTAGGTCCTTGGATTGTCCGGTCCTTGATTTTCGGTGGTTTTAGGTTGTTGATGTTTGGTCGTTGGATTTCATACCCCCTCCAGAAAACAAGTTCAACCTGCCGGGGGTCCGGAACAAAAGTCCTTGAAGCAACACACCCGGGACAATACCACGACTTGGCATCCCGGCAGCTCAGGTGGTCTGGGCTGTGCGGGCCGCGCAAGCTCCTCGTGGGGCGCCAGGAGCCCTTGACAAAAAAGGTTGTCCTCCCCATTTAGACGCCCACAAAAGCTCAAAAAGGTGGTGTTCACATTGGTTTGTTGTATTCCCTATCGACCAAGTCAAGAAAGGTAGCCTCAAAAAGTATACAACTGATGTCGAGCTGCGGCAAATTGCCCGATCCAGCTCCTTGCCAAGCGTTTCATTGCAAGCGTTTCAGGGAAGAAGCTATCTGAGCTCAGTCCACGAACCATTTCTTTGGCAAAACCTCCACCCTCCAGATTTCAGCTGTTTGCCTGAACCCGTTCTCCATGCAACCGGCATGTGTCAGCACAAAGCCAGAGTCTGGGCAAAACATGAGATCACCAAACGGGCCTCAAGCCAAACAGCCTGGGACACGTGTCTTAAGACCCTGGGCCAGGGATGCCTCAGAAATTCCGGCCATGGGCTTTGAGATCCTTCAGTGTGACGCCGCATGGAGCGATGACTTTCATGGAAAAGCCACCGAGGCCTGGCCATGGTGCCTCCAGGACCCATGGCTTTCCCAGGAGACTGGCAGGACGCGCAGTCTCCAGCACCCTTCAAGCGTCCGGTCCGAAGCCAGCTTGGACGTGGCCAGCATGGCTTGGCCAAACCACATCCATACAAAACCGATGGAGGGAAATATAGATGGCGTTTCCTGAAGGAGAAAAACGGAACATAGTTGGTATACCCTCTAGTGATTCATAGAGCAAACAAAAATAAATGTTACTCGATTCGACATAGTCTTCCTCGGGCCCGTGAAAAAGCAACGAGCCCCTGTTTCAGGGTGTACATTTCGGCTCTGGTGTTTCTTTTGGAATCACATATTTTGAAATCACGCCTGGGGGGTCCAGTTTTGTGTTCTTATTGAAATCACTTTTTCGGGGTCCCGGTGATTTTGTTGAAATCACGCCTGGGGGGGGGGGGCAAATCACGGGTCCCGGCAATGCATTTGAGCAGTGCCGAAAATAGGGTACATACAACCCTCTACTAGCAAACCACTTTCGCAGAACCTTTCGCGATGCTTTCGCGGCCACACGTTGCACTTTCGCGGGCATGCGGTTTGTCATGATCACTTTCGCGGAGCTTTCGCAGGCAACACAGAAACTGCGAATATGCACTTTGGCGACGCCGCGGCGGGCTCTGCTTCAACCACTTTCGCCGCAAGCTTTCGCGCCCTGCGTTTTAGCTTTTGCGAGGCATAAGGGTTTTGGCGCTGCTCATTTTTTGAAATCACGCCTGAAGGGTCCCCGTGTTTGTGTTTGATTTCATGCCGGGGGTCCCGATGATTGTTCTTGTTGCAATCATGCCTGCGCGCCGGGATGTTTTTTTTTCTATTGAATTCACTTCTCGGGGCTCCGCCTTTGTTTTTTCCTTTTCACGCCTCTGGGCCCTGGCGCTTCTTCTTTTGAAGTCACGCTTGGGGGCTCCGGTGATTGTTTTTTTTGGAAATCACGCCCAGGCGTGATGTACAAAAACAACACACACACTAGGACCCCCAGGGCCGAGAGGCGTGAATTAAAAGAAAGCGGAGCCCCAAGGCGTGAATCCAAAGAAGAAACACCCCGGCTCCCCGGGCATGATTTCAACCAAAAACCAAAAAAACAGGACCCTGCGGGCGAGATACACTTGAAAAAAAGGAAAAAAACAAACACCTGTACCCCCCCCAGGCGTGATTTCAATGTATGTGATTCCAAAAAGAAAAGAAAAAGACTGGAGCGGCGGGATTTCCAAAAAGAACAGGACCCCCCAGGCGTAATTTCAAAAATAAACACCGGGATCAAGGTGTTTTTCCTTTGGAATCACCAGTCGCTCACTCACTTGCTTGCTCGCTTCGTCTGTGAAAAAAACATCAAAATCAGAATCCAACATGAGGAAAATCAAAAAAAACGCTGCTGGTGTACATTCAATAAACATGCACCGGTTCCGTACATTTCGCTCCTGGAACCTTTAACACAAGGCCAGACCATCTTCTAAGAGACCCTCATGCAAAATAGGCCAGACTTAGCCCCTCTGCAGAAAGTTGAACGTTCTGCTCCCGCATCTTCATGTTCGGTAACATGGCCGGACTATGTCGGACCAAGAACCGGAGGTCAGATAGAACGAGGTACCCAAGCGCTTATCGCATTGTAGGTACGGGCCCATGACACCACGCGTAGTGTCGAGGCAACTGCGTCCGCAGGCGCATGGAATGGAGGAACGAATTAGGCCGTCGCGGCGGAGGAGAGCATCATGGGGCACAAGAGAAGGGGGGATCTTGGCCAAGTGGAGAGCGGTGGACATCGAGATACTGCCATTGGCACAAGTAAAATAATCGGTCAGGAGGGATTGAACCGACTCCTGATGTGGGAAGAAAGGCCTGGTCGAAAGGCCCTGGACCTGCAGACCACGACCAAATCGGACAAGTTTAATCTTTTTAGTTTGATCCCAAGACATGATCTGGGCACCAGTAATGGTGGTGAGAGTCCTAAGGCTGTGTACGAAGGCTTTAACCTCATCGCCCAGCGGGCGGGCATCAAGAGTGGGGACATAGTGGATGCCCTCCGTAATCTGGGTGCCTTTGTGAATCGCGCAAGGAATAGGAATGGGACACTTGGTCTCAAGTCGGAAGGAGACAAGGAGTTCTGCCCAAGAGATCCCAGCAGAACTTGCCTCATGTGAAGTTGGGGGCCAAAGGAGGGAGCTCGTCCAGGCAATCAAGGCTGCATTATATGAGGCGCCCCAGGTGGATGCCGACTTCCAATCATCGTTGACTGGAGTACAATTTAATGGGGTCCAATCACTAGGAGCAGGGCCTTGAATTGGGTTGGTACTGACAATTTCGGGGGTGGGGCTTCATTATAGCGATTATAGTGGCGGTATGGGTACTGAAGAAGGCACCTATGGCAGCCAAACCTAAGTACACTGGGCGCCAGAAGGCGGTCGCATCTTTCTTCCCCTGAAGAAGGTTTTGCTTAATTAGACTCTCGGCCGGGCCGTCATGGGAGACCGCGGCCTTGGCTGCAAGGTCGGCACAGTGATTGCCGAATTGTCTGTATGCTTGGAGTGGGTCCGTTGAGTAATTTTGATGGGATTTGATCTTAATGAGCTCGATACTTCGGGAAGCGGCTGGCCAAAGAAGTATGGCACGGGACAGAAGAATTAAAATGTCATAGTTATCACACCCAAGGAAAAGGGTGGGATTAGGAATTTTTTCTGCCCAGGAAATGGCGTATTTGCTATCCGAGTGGACCACGACGCACGGGCCAAGTGAGATTGCAAGGGCAATGGCAAGAAGTTCAGCGCGCTGGATAGTAGCACGGATCGGTGATTTACCTGTGCATATGACCTTCATACAGTCCGGCCATTCACAAGTGGAGAAGAATCTTTCAGCGGCCCTAACCAGCATAGCCAGCATCTTCATTGAAAGCACTTCCGTCGGTGTATGCAAAAAAATCCCCCCATCTTGGAAAAGGGGGCTTGGGAAAATCGGGTACGGCCTGGAAGAAACAAGGCGACGCCAACCCTCAATGTGATCTCCCATTGGAACCCACGGGCACTTTGCCAAGTCAGGAGGGAGACGAGAAAGCTCGGGGAAGGCTTCCCGAATGTGCGCAACGCCACTACAAGTGAGAACCCTGTGGGGTATAGTGTCTCGATCAAGACAGTATGGGCAGATGGCATCCCCGTCCGACCAAATACTGGCCTGGGCCCGGGTGGTGATACCACCGCTTAGGTGGATCTGAACAAGTTGTTTATCCCCATCGGGGAGATCCCCAACAAGTTTGTTAGTTAAAACTCAAGCCTGATCGGCGGCAGTGAAGGGACCAAACTGTACTGATCCATGAGTCGGCAAGTTCCTGACTTCGCTGCCGTAGAAGCCAGTTGAGTAGGCACTTCCTTGGATAAGGTGTGCCTTGGTGAGTTGAGAAATGGGAAGGGACTCAACTTTCTGGATACGGCGAAGGCACTCATCCAAGCGGTTAGACAGGAGACCAAGCTTGCCAGTGTTCTTGTACCGAATAAAAGCACCAAGGTCGTGTTCATCAAGGGACCTAGGGAAAGGGAAAGATTTCAAGGGAGTGGGGTCTCCAGAGGTCCAAACCCAAGATTTATTAAAATCCAGTTTGGGATCCCAAGCATCAGAGAAATCAGAAATGATACTGATACCTTGAGCAAGGTCTTCCGGCGTTCTGGAGACAACTTCCCAGTTGTCCACGTAGACAATTGGCCGGCATGCTGAAGAATCACGGATCTTGAAGGTGAGCCAAGCGCCCACCAAAGCGGCAGCTACCACACTAAATGGACACCCCTCTGAGATACCCCTGAACGAGGGGTGGGGGTCAGAGTATGCCCCGCCGATAATCACGGACCTTTTGAGCTGATGAAGAAGAGAGATCCAGGCATCTGCAAGGGCCGCAGGAATACCCGAGGCCACAAGAAGGTTACGGACCAAAGGCCTGGGGAGGCAATTGAAGACTTTCTGAACGTCCGTGACTGCGCCCAGGGCGGGGGAGTTAGTGATAAGGCAATTTTCAATTTCGCATTGCAAACCATACCAAATATCGGTCGCCCCCCTTTTGGGGAGGCCTCCACGAACATGGGCTGGAAGCGTGTAAGAAAGTGCCAAAGGCATCTACGGGCTAGACATTTCATGCTAACACGGTAGAGAAGTCCCATAATAGTAATGGGTCGCCCGTGGGCAATTACCTTAGGGTCAGGCACCTTGGATGGAATGCAAACGCGGGCGAGTGTGAGGACCTCACTCCAATCGGATGAGCCACTAATGCACTCGTTGAACATGTCACACCAATCCTGCAAAATGCGGGGAGGGAGGCACTCAAGTTCAGGCTGGGACCAGCCGTCTGCTCCCTGGGAAGTTTTGCTCCACGTATCCTTAATGCAAGATTGAAGGTGTTGGACATCAACATGGGGGTCGATAAGAATCTTCCACTGTTCAGGGAAATCCGAAAAGTCCTGAAAATGGGAAGGGTTTGCAGGAGGGGACCAAGGCGCTCCCCAAAAAGATTCCCAAAATCTGAAAAACATGGAATGAAGGGAGTCGGGGTCGTCAGACCACCTTTCAACTCTCACATGCACATGCAGAGAGGGTGGGGTCTGCGCACGACCACAAATGGGAGACACAGGGCGGAGAGGGAGGTCACCTAGGTAAACAATATCACCGGGGTGAAATGTGCCCGGAGAACACGAATACGTAGCCGGTCCTTTCAAGTGGGAGCGGCATCGATTAAGAACGAGTTGGAAGGACTCGCATGCACTTTGGATAGGGGGATTACTTGAAGGGCCGATAAGGCGGTATCCTAACCTATTCCCTTGGGAAACCCGGGAGTGATTAAGATCCTTGCGAAGGGATTCAATCCTGGCAGTCCGCGCAAGCTTTGAGGTCTCATCAAGGTACCCCTCAACAAGGCAGGCCAAAGTGTCCATGAAAGAAGGGAATGGTGTCGAGGCCGGTCTTCAGGGCCCACGTGGGAAAGCACGGGGGAAAACCCGGGGCTTTGAGAATGGCGGAACAATCAGCCAGAGCAACCGGATTATGCGTGACATTCGGGTTCTTCTTCAGGATTCGGGTTGATGAGTGGATACGCCTCATTTGGCGGACAATTTGTTTGTGGAGGACGGATGTAGCCTCCTCATGTGGCTGGAAATCTCCTGGTCGTCCAAAACGATGGCCAGTGCTATACCTACTGAATTTATAAGGAGGGATACGGCCGCGCCCAAGCTGACAAGATGCCATGGGATTGCAGCATGGGTCAAGTTCGTGTCGATCACGAAGAGTCTTTTTAAAAGATGTTTCCACACAGACCGACCACCGGAGGGGTCAGGGTATTCTTGGTGTGCGGCGGTTCCGGTCAAAGCCAAATAATGAGACAAGAGGGGGTTAGGGTCCAGAAACCCAATTTGCTCAGGGCTAAGACTTTTTGGGAGGCGCCACTGGAGCTTGTGGATGTCAATGTGATCGGTAAGGAAAGAGATCACAAGCGGATGATGATTGGCTAAAGTATGGTCGCGGATCGCTTGAATGTCGCTCACACTATGGATCAGGCCTGGAGAGATTAATGCACTATCATTTCGTGTGGATTCTTGGAAAGTCGGAGGTGTTTCTCGGCCGAATTTATCACGGCATAAGGAGAGAGCTTCACGAAACCCTAGGTGGGACAAGGAAGCCCATTCCGCCATTGCAGTGGGCGGGGAGTTGAAATCGCCACAAATGATGGAATGGCCCGTCCATTCCTGGACCCGGCGAAGGCACTGTTGCATCATGCACTGATTAATATGTGTCACCATTCCCGGGGAGTGATGGCCTCCCGGGGGGTGAAGGTACACGGAAAGTATGAGGATCTGGATGTGACCGAATATAACCACTGCTTCACACCACCACACCGCTGCGGTGGTATCGCAGGCTGAGGAGCGGCAAGGAATTGAAGAGAGAATGCCACATCCTCCATATTTTGCAAGTGGGGCATTAACTATGCGACGGACACGAGATCCACACGGATTGCTATGGACAAAACGGAGGCCGGCCCGAGAGGCCGCACGTGCAGTCTGCTGAATGGTAGCAAGGTCGGCCGAGGTTTCGGCCATACACAAGATTCCCGGAAAGCGGGACATTTGCCTCGTCAGTGAATCCTGCCGAGACCGCCATTTTGGATGACTTCTTGAACTTCTTCCAGTCGGCCATCTCGAGGGAGAGGATGCGGAAGCGATCCTTAGAGTTGGCAATCAGGCTCTCTGGGTTCTTTGTTTGGGAAAGAGCGTTAGCCGCTGTTAATATTTTCCGAGCGAACGGGAGTCTCCCCGCTGCCTTTCCCATCTCTGTGCTGTCCAGCTCTGGATGACCGCAAACAAGGTTCTGAATGGCTTCCGCGTATTCTATCACCGTGTCCTGTGAGATCGCATGCCGCAGCGAAAGAGCCCCTTCGGCTTTCCGCGCAAGATCGCAGAGTTGTTCTTTTGTAATTGCCGAGTAGATCTCCCCTGCTCTTTTTAGGATTTCACTTCCCTCAGGGATATCAAATTCCTTGTTCTTTAGGGCAGTCATCATCATGTCAGCCACCCCAAGAACTGCACCCATGAAAAGTCCAGCCAGGGCCTTTCCCCTGCGGTGCCCTGGCCCCTTCGCATAGACTTTCCAAGAATGTGTTGGAAGAGAACCAAAGCGATCGAGTATTGCGCTTTGCCAGTCGAACTGCCAACCAGGGAGTGAATTGTCGATACAGTCTTGTTATGGATGATGCTGTCGCTCGGCGTATTCCGGTAGAAGATCTCGATAATTGCAGCGAGAATTATCAAAGACCCAAGACGCTGCCCAGGCTCCGGAGCCGCTCCTTCTATCTTCACCGTCTTCAAGAGCGTCAAGGTCTCAATGCTGTCTGGCAAACTTACAACTATCGTGGAATCATCCTTGAGTCCAATAAAGTTGTTCACTGCAGGGACAGGGGTGATGGAGCTCCGAAGGCACCAACCGTGTATGCGGAGATGTTCACGGCCCGGCTTTAGCTCTTGAGAAATTTTTGAGGCAGTCCCTATGGCTCGGCCGAGGGCCTCTATGTCGAGCTGATCGACAGCCAAGAGATTGGCAGGAATGCTGGATTCCGTGGGGAGAGATATTTCAACCATCGAACTATCCGAAGCCTTCTGCATTTGGTACGGCGCCGCCTTGGGTGCCATGCTTCCAGGATGTCAAGAGCGCCGGGGGACTGGGTGCCTGCACTTTAGGGATTCAAGTCGTCGCTTGAGCCAAAATGGCTACGGAACGTTCTGCTGGCTTACATAAACCTGTTGTTTGGGACCAGCTGTTTGGGACCATACCATCATTTGGAACCCTGCATGTTTGGGACCACCTTTGGGACCATGGGTGTTTGTTTCGTTTGGACCACCGTTTGGGACCATGGGCGTTTGGGACCCCACAATTTGGGACCATGCGTGTTTGGGACCATGGTTTGGGACCATCGTTTGGGACCATGCGGGTGTTGGGGAGGACGATGGGTGTTTGGGGCGCACCGTTTGCGGCCGGGCGTTCCATGTGTCCGGGACCACTGTTTGGGACCATGGCTGTTTGGGACCATACCGCTTGGGACCATCGTTTGGGACCATGCATGTTTGGGACCACCTGTTTGAGACCATGGATGTTTGTTTGGGACCAGGGGTGTTTGGGACCAGTGTTTGGGACCATGCGAGTGTTTGGGAGGAGCATGATTGGGGCCCACCGTTTGGGGCCGGGTGTTTGGGACCATGGGTTTCTGGGACCACTTCCATGGGTGCTTGGGACCCACCACCATACGTGTTTGGGACCAGCTGCGTGGGACCAGCTGCTTGGGACCATGAATGTTTGGGACCACTGTTTGGGATTATACCGTTTGGGACCATGTTTGGGACCGCCGTTTGGGACCATCGTTTGGGACCATGGGTGTTTGGGACCCACCGTTTCGTTTGGGACCACCGTTTGGGACCATGGGTGTTTGGGACCCAAAATTTGGGACCATGCGTGTTTGGGACCATGGTTTGGGACTGGGGACGTTTGGGACCATGAGTGTTTGGGACCCCACAATTTGGGACCATGCGTGGAGTTTGGGACCATGGCTTGGGACCATCGTTTTGTTTGGGACCATGCGGGTGTTTGGGAGGACCGTGGGGGATGAGCAGTTTGGGTGGGACCATGGGTGTCCGGGACCGCCCTTTGGGATCATGGCTGTTTGGGACCCAGAATTTGGGACCATGCGTTTGGGACCAGCTGTGTGGACCAGCTGTTTGGGACCATGGGTGTTCCGGACCACCGTGTTTGGGATTTGGGACCGGGTGTTGGGGACCAGTTGGCTGGGACCACCGTTTGCGACAATGGGTGTGGGGTGTTTGGGACCAGTTGTTTGGGACCATGGGAGCTTTGGACCGTTTGGGATTGTGTTTGGGACCACCGTTTGGAGCCACAGGTGTTTTGGACCATGGGTGTTTGGGGTTTGGGACCATGGGTGTTTGGGACCAACTTGGACCACTGTGTTGGGATTATGGGTGTTTGGGACCAGCTGTCTGAGACCACCGTTTGGGACCATGTTTGGGACCATTTGGGACCACTGTTTGGGCATGGGTGTTTTGGACCATCGGTGTCTCAAACCAGCCCCTTCAACACTGAAAAAATGCGCACAAATTTCCAAATACGCCCCTCTTATTTGAACGACTCTACACTGAAGCAAAGCGGCTGTGACAACACAGAAAAGGAGGAATAAATCCAGCCCAACTACAAGCTCACAAGGATCCTTTGGGTGGAAGGACCCAGCTCCCAGTGACAAACCCATATGATTGTTGCTTTTTGTCTTCTAAAATCAACGGCTGTTTTCTGCTGTTTCATGGTTTTTTGCGCTGCTTTCTGCCTTCGTCTGCCCTGAAGCCTCGCCCCGTTGACCCTTCACCCCCTTTATTTTTCTCTGACATATGGGTATGAGTCAACCTTAAACCACCGGAGGACAGGCTTTCCTGGTCTTCATGTACCAGGGTTCCATCACCATTTGACCCACAGCTATGTTGCTCATTTCCGCAACTGGAGAAACACATAGACCATGTAATGTTCACTCCGTATTAATCAACCCCGGTTTATTCATAGGGGGGTGTTTCCCTCCAAAAGTGTCAGCCATTAGTACACAGGGGTAGATTAATACTTGGTTGACGTTGGACGGGGAGCAACAAATTAAACTGTAGCAGTTAAGTGGGGATTTCCCACTACACCACAATAAGCAAAGATGTAAAATGTTTCCCAACAACAACCATCAATATGCGGTCAACACTCAGGACCTTCTCAAGGCCCAAAAAGGGGCTCCTCCCGCAGCTCCATCGCCGAGGGCGAGTCTTTGGCGCCAAAGGCCTAGCAGCGAGTCGGAGAAACCGGCGAAACGAGATCGGGCGAATTTTTCGGAGGCCGGGGTGGGAGGGATGGGGGGAGGGGTTTGGGGGGGGCAGGGTTTGAACGGCCATTCTGGTGAGGAAATCCAGAGAAAAATGCAAACAGGGAGAACATGTCAAAGTTAAGGCTAGCTTCGTCTTTTCAACGCTGCATGGCCGAAAATGGGGGGGTCGGCGACACACGGGCGTAGCCCATTCTATTCTCAAAGTTAAAGTTCGCTTGAGGTTGTTTAAAGACCTCGTTGATTTCAGAGTTCCTTTCTTTAACTCCTGGTTGGTGCGTGGCCAATGGCCAATTGCATGGGAAAGAGGGTAAAACAAGGCCGCCATTCTGATTGGTCCGTTGCCTGGGGGCCAATTCTTATTCTCAGGCTTTGGAATTGTAGAAGCTGCAAGTGGGTATGAATCATATCCCAAACGACCCTTTGGTGGACAGGTCCACCGCTTTTAAGGTGAGTCAAGGTCCAAGGTCCATGCACGGGTTCTGCGGGTATGGGAGTTTTCCCATAGGTTTTCATCCATTTCCGCGCATCCGCAACGGGAGACCTTTTTTGGCCCGATGGCCAGGAGGCCTTCGGGGCCATGGGGTGGCATGCCTGGCTGCATTGGAGCTCGGTATGGGACCCCCTGCCAACAAGATTTGAGGGAAAAGGACAAACAAAGGAAACACTCACAAAGCTAAGCATGTGCTGACTTTTGCTTTAAAAGGGGCAACGAAGAAACACCACAAAGGTGACAAGTTTGAAAGGCATGCCTTAGGTTTATCCAAGTCCACCCCAGCCATGAAGACCACGTTCCACTTACAAGGGCCTTCTGGTGCGTTCCGTGTGAGTCGGAGGCTAACTTGTTGCTCCCTCCCATTAACAAGCCCAAAACGAGAGCCATTCACCTTTTTGCTGCTTAGTGTTCCCCCAAGTGTTCAAGGCTTAAGATTTGGCCAAAGGGCAGCACACCCAGCAGACCCAGTTGCCCCTACAGTATATAATTAAGTAGCGAACCAGGACTGACCACCATCTACAAAACCCAGAGCTCAACATTCGTTACCTTCTGTTAACCGTGTTGTGCCCGCTTCGGTAAGGGGATACCCTATAATTGCAAGTGTTTGCCCCTTACACAGAATCTTCGACTGCTTAGGGGCCCTAGAAAGTACAGTACTTCCCCCGCAGGTCATATGAGCATATATCTCTCATATTCGCTCATCAGATTGAAAACCGAGAGGCTAAACTGCAAATGCAACTTTGGTTTCAATCGCTGGCCCCAAAACGGAAAATCCTTGAGATCAATCATTTAGCCAAAACCAAGAGGAGAAACAGTCATCCCAAGGGGGTGCCCACAAAAAAAACACAAACCTCGACCGAATTTAATGGCACTGTTTTGGTGTTCTCTTTGATGTCAACCTGGAAAGTAAGTATTTGCAATTCTCAAGCAAGTATTGCCAATGCTAAAGCAAGTATTGGTGATACTAAAGTAAGTGTTGGATTGCTGCAGCAAGTACTGGCAGTACTAAAGCAAGTACTAGCGATACTAAAGTAAGTATTGGCAATAGTAAAGCCAGTATTGGCAATAGTGAAGTAAGCATTGGCAATACCTTACATCTGGGTTGGGAATCCCACAATGTGCACTGGCAATACTGAGTTCAGTATTGCCAATACTGAATCAGTATTGCCTAACTCGAGCCCATACCCAAATCCCACTAAAGAGAACCGTTTTACAACTTGTAGCTCTTGACACCTTCGGGAGGGCGGGGGGCTTTGCATTGAAGCGAACCCCGCTTTGGTGATTGGTGGATCCGTCAAGTCGGTTGGCAGGTCGGAGCGCGAGGCCAAGTGTCGAAGGAACCCAAATCTCCCAAATCTCGACCCAAATCTCGACACACATCTCCAGTGGCTATGGGGAAAAACACAATTGCTTTCGTTGGCGCTGGAATTTGAATGGCAACCCTCTCCCAAAATGGCCAACCGGGCAAACGTGTCTTGCCCTTTTGGCCTCCCATCGCAATGCAAACCATACCCTTCAAATTCTTTACATGGTGTGGAGTAGACATGTTTTAGGCAAGATGTTGATTGCACTTGCGTCCAGTAACGTTGAACCTCCCCTTTTGGTTAGGTTGGTTTTAAAGGGAAGCTTCCTACTTTTGAGACAAGCCCAAATGTTGCTACTCTCGCGTCTGTCCAACGACTGCAAGTGCCTGCTCCAAGGTTCCGGAATCGATGTAGCTAATGGGCTGCTGCTCCTGTGCGCGCGCTATGCCATCTTACAGGAGACACGTTCTACTCCCCGCAAATGCAAGAGTCTTGCCGAACATGTCATTGGCATGATGGCTGCCCAGCGTCGCTCCTACTTATCTTCTGATCCTTATATAGCATATATATATATAGGTATAGTATCGAACATATGCATATCAATATCCTTCAAAATATGCGTGTGTGTGTGTGCGCGTGTGATGCCACAATACGTATCATATGCATATCAATCTGTTTGCTAATCATCAATCCAACCTCTCAGCTGCTGTCTGGAACGAGAACAGTCCATGGCGCATGTTGGGGGAACTTGCTGACACATTTCATGGGGCCAGGCTTTGTGCAGATGCAGCATAAGTTCTCCAAATACATTGACATGGAACGTGAGCATTCCTATCATGACCAATTTTGGGTGTGTGTCTAAAAATAGGGGGACCCCGCAAAAGGTGGTTTGTCCGGTTGGGTTTCATTCAAGCTAAGCTAAAAAAGAGTATACCCTTATTAAAAAAAAGAAAAGAACAAGAGGACACCCATTCGGGTTTAAAGACCCCGCCATCCCGTTCTAACTATTTGGGCCCTTGCTCCATGTACAGCCGAAGCAACAACTCGCTTGTCTGGATGGGCCAACACAAAACCTGCACTTCGTGTTTATCACAACGGCTTCCCAACAAATACGAGGGGGAAACTTGGCCCATCTGAGAATCTGGGGTACATAGTACACAGACCATCCTTTTGTGATTCTGCATCATAGTATCACTTCCTGAGTGGATTGGAAAAAAAACAAAACAAGTCTCAGCTTTGTTTGTTTACCACCAAGATGGTCCAAACCCAAAAGTCTAAAGTCCAAGAACTCAGGAAGTGAGTACTTCGTCTCCCAACATATAGAACATCGCTTTAGAGGAGGCCCAGGACGTCCGGAAACACGGCGGCCCAGTGCCTCGGACGCTTCGGGCGTGAGATGCTTGAACCACTTCGACACCTCCGACACCTCCTGGCGGGCGGATCGCTTGCGCCTCTAGGTAGCCAAGGACACCATCATGTCAAGACTTGGGGAACTTTCTGGTGACCTGCAGTAGGGGGAACTGGATCTGTGAAAAATATGGACCTCCCAACTCGGGATTGCTGCTCCGAACTCCCTCTTAGGCCACCGCGAAAAGAGCAACAACTGCCCAAGCAGAGTAGCTATAGGTCCGATCGAAAACATCACCCCCACTGAAAGTGAAACTAGATTGAAGCTGATGATTGAACCAGCCGCGTCGGGGGACCGGTCGACTTGACCCAGGGTTGTTGAGGCTGGGAACATCAAGGGGCCATTACTTAGACGTTCCAGAAGTTAGCTAACTTCTTGGTACCCCCCAGGACACCTTTGAATGATTCTGGCACTTGAGCAAGCTCTGGTTGCTGACTAGGTGGCCTCCCATTCTCCCACAACCCTTGACGGAAGATGGTGCTGGGAAAAGCATGCAACCCCTACTTTGGTCTAGAGTCATCATCCAATTCGTAAGCCGCTTCAATCCGGGTCCATTGGGCATCCAGTGATATGGGTCAGGCGTTTTTAGTTCAGTGAAACATCAGGTACGAGGCGTGTGAGCCATGAGCTCGAATTCGTTTTTGTGTTGGCGCGCTCACCGAACTCGAAGCCGGAGCAGAGAGAGAGAGAGAGAGAGACACAGAGAGGAGAGAAACAGGACATCTCGTGTCATAGCATCTCGTGCCTCGTGCCATTGAGTCGAGCTCGGCGAAAACCAGAAACGCACCGCCGTTTCAACGAAGGTACGGCGGGAGATTTCCGGCCTGGCAGGTGAACTGCCATCTGTCAGCCTTCTCCGTGAGGCTTTGCAGCTCGAAAGACCTCGAGTCGAGTGATGGTCAGTGGGAGTTCTCAGACCGTGTCCAGGCAGTCGCACAAGAACTGTCTGGAAGGGTTCCCCTGTTCTCAGACGGACCATAGGAATCTCGGTTGAAATGAACCAGTTGGGATCCCCTGAAAGGAAACCACAAAAGGAATCACAAGATGGATTCCCCTGAGAACCAGGAAGCCCGATTCCGTAACAAAAACAACTTTGGTGTCCCCTTGGTTTATCTTACCTCACCAAAACGGCCCCCCTTTCGGAAACCTTGGCCCACAAAAACAGTAGTACACGGAGACACATAACTTCATATTATGTTCCATATTGAGTCTAACCATGTCTAACCCTAACGCACTAGATCCCAGGTAAACCCTTCTTCACCATTGTTCATTTGGTCAAGTTTTCCCATGGTTCTCTATACAGTGACCCCAAATCTTTAGTTCTCTTGGTCAAGACCACCTTACCTTACCTTACCTTTATGCGAACCTGATGCCTTGAAAACTAAGCTCCCAACTAACATGGGATTAAGCCTCCGGCTGAGCGCTCAAGCGCTGCACGCCGAAGCCGCTCAGCCTCCATCGGCGTTTCGGCGGCTCAGCTTCCAAGGCGTCCCGCGGCCTGCGGATTCAGTCGAGCCCTTGCGGGGTGGCCACGGAAAGAATGTCCTTGGTCAGCCGCCAAACATGTGTCGTCCCCAAAAACATATAGGAAACATGTCTTCCCAAAAGCATTGAAAGTCCAACTCAGGGAGTGAGTGTAAGGCGCGAAATAAAGACAAACAAAAAGTGTACGCCTATCACGACTAAAGATGACTATAAGGTACCCCACAACCCCCTTCCATGTTTTTGAGGCCCTTGTCTCTTGGGATTGACTCAAGGGATCCAAAAGCGTGGGTCCTAAAGTCCTAGGCGCGGTGGGTTTTATTCAGCCCCTAACCGTGGCCGCACGTTTGCCCCGCATGTGTTCTGTGAACTTTTACAACGGGGACCCCTGGGTGGGCATCGGAAAGGCTGGGGCTTGATGTCCACCAACCACTCTTTAGCTGCTCCTCAATGAAACAAAACACAACCACTTGGCCGTGATTTTGGCATTTCTCTCTATGAAGGTTCATTAGCCCACCTTTGTGGGGAAGAGTTTCGGCGGTGGCGCGGGGGGGGGGGGTGAAACAGAAGATAACACACCAGGTTAGCAAAGTACTCACCTGTTGGTTTCCCTTGTGGAATCAAGACACATACTGCCATGTTGCATCCTGCCAACCAATCTGGGAGAAACCAACAAGCAAGCAAGGGTCGTTCCTCCTTTCCTTTGTGCGGAAATTTGACTATGTCCCGCATGTCCTCCCTTCCAAATTGGACAAAGACAACTGTATTCAATATGTTGCCGAATTTCATTCCCTCACCACTCACTTGGGTGGATTGGCCCCACCAAGTTGAACGTTGTGTTTGCCACTAAAAGCCAGAAAACATAAAGTCCAACTGGAGCGCGAGGGTCTGTGCGAGCTGCCGTGGT